AAATAAATAAAATAAATAAATTAAATAAATAAATAAATAAATAAATAAATAAATAAATAAATAAATAAATAAATAAATAAATAAATAAATAAATAAATAAATAAATAAATAAATTCCTTTCGAGAAATTAAAAAAAATATCGATTATTATTTAAGGATAAAATAAATAAATATCGATTATTATTTAAAAATAAAATAAATAGGTATCGATTATTATTTAAAAATAAAATAAATAAGTATCGATTTTAAATCGAAAATAAATTAAAAAAATATTAAATAAAAAACACCAAAGATTATTATATAATAAATTTTTACGTATATTAAATAATATACTATAAGCAATTATAGTTATTATATATTTTATTTATAAATTTATATCTTTTTAACGCTATCGCTAAATAAATGCTATATTATGCCTAATATAAATGCCGAAATACCTTTATTATAATGCTTTAAATATAAAAAAAAAAACGCAAAAAATAATCGGAAAGGAGCAATAATAGGAGTCGAACCTATAAATTTAGATTTAATAGGTTTGTTTTTTACTATTTAGATTTATTGCTTTTATTACTTTTTTTTTTTAAGCGTTTAATTCGGGAATTTGAGCGCGAGGCTTCGAAATTTTATATAAAGCGATAAGCTAAAAACGAATAATAGCGGCAGCTATTTAATTAAAATTAAAATCGATATTAAATAAATCCTAAAATTATTATTTATTTATATTAGCTCCTTTTTATTTAATTTCGGGATTAGCAAATATTCGCTAAATAAAGCAGTTTTTATCGCGTTTAGGAAAAGGGCAAATTATTTTAATATTAATAAAATAAAAGTTAAAAACGTATAGCGTAAAAAAATATACCGCGGTCGGGGTAATCGCTATGCTTATAGCTATTATATTTTTAGCCGAAAACGTAACTAGCTTTTTTTTTATAACGTTTAAATCGTATTAAATAAATAATATATAAATAAAAATATCGTATTAATCGTATATAAAAATATATATAATGCCGTTAGCTTTTAGGATTTCGGGGCGGAGGATTATAATTTAGCGAGTATTAAACTCCTTTTTAGGTATATTAAGCTTGGTCTTTTTTTTACGAGCTAGCATACGTATATTTTTATAAAATTTTGCTTTAGGTTAAATTTAGGTGCGATTCGGATGCGAAGGAATAATAAATAAATTTATTAACGAGCTTTTAATCGTCGGCATTAAAAAAAGCACCGATAATTACGGGAGCTTAATTAAAATCGTCAGTAGTTTTAAGGTATTTTTTTAAATTGCTTAGGTTTAAATATATAACGTTTTGCTTTAAATTAATATTATATAAAATATAATCGTAGCTAAAATGCAGATTTATATTATAGCAAAACATATTAGGTTCGACTTTATAACAATAATAAATTTTATTAGCTTTAATAATAACTTTTTTCTTTTATATAATAAAATATTAGCAGCTATACGATTAAGCGCGCAAGCGCCCTAAGCGATCGCGCGATAATATATAAATTTATTTTATTAACGTCGTAAAAAAAGAGGCTACCGCGTCTAAAATAGCCGTTATCGGCGTTAAAGTATTACTAATATTCGGGCTATATTAATACGTATTAGCTAATAAATTAATTTTAAATCGATTTTAAATTTATACCGTATTTTTATAAATCCGGCGCATTATTATAACGGTTTACGAACGATTTTTAAAGAGTTTATTAAATGTTATAATAAGCGTTAAATAAAGGTTATATTTTATTTAGTTTTAGCGTAAAATCGTAAAAGGATTAAGATTTTTACCCTGCTAAAATTTTTAGCACCGCGTTTATTTATTAAGGTTAGATATATTATTTGTATTGCTTTTTCCTTTATAAAACGTTTTATATTATAAGGAAAAAATTTATCGATATTATTTCTTTTTTTTTAAAGCTATATATTAATACCATTTTTAATTACTTAAAGCTGCGAATCGATATTATTTTTAATTTTTTAAAGCTAGAAATCGATACTATTTTTAATTTATTACGGCTAGGAGTCGATATTATTTTTAATTTTAAAAGGCTAAAAATCGATATTATTTTTATTTTTAAAAGGTTAAAAATTAATATTATTTTTTATTTTACAAGGCTGAAAATCGATACTATTTTTTATTTTATAAGGCTAAAAGTCGATATTATTTCTTTTTTTTTACGGCTAAAAATTAATATTATTGCTAAATCCGTATAGGAAGGAAATACAGGTAGCGGTGGCCCCGCAGGTACCCTTAGGTTATCTTTTGGATTTTAAAATTATGGGGAAATTCTCAGGTCACCTAGGGGGGGGTACCCTTAGTTTGTCATATTCTCGGCTAAGGCAGAGAACTTTTAGACTTGCAGTATCCGCTGCAAACCCGGTAATCCTAGTAGTAGAGGACACTAGTAGCCAGCGACACTAACACTACAACTTTTGAATGTATTTGTGAGTTTTCTTAGGGATTCTGTAATCAGCCTTCAAGAAACATGAAATGAAATATTTTGACCATCGTTGCTCGATTGCAATCAAAATCATATGAATTGGAGTTTTATTCCGATGCTGGAATATCAAGAAAAGATATATGACGCGATATTCTCGGACTCGTTCCTCGGACCCAAACAAGCCCAGCGCTGGCCTTGTTGTGGATATTTTGCTGGAGATCACAACGCTGTCTAGCGGCCGCAGTCGCTGTCCAGCAGAACAGGGGGGATGCGCTTAAAGTCGTCGAAGGATTCAGGGAGGCTCCGCAATATTGTCAGTGGATAGGCATGATTGGCCAAGCGAGCCTATCAAGTAGCCAGGGCCAAGGACCTTGGGGATATTATTAGGTCGTCTTGGGGGCCCATGTAGAACCTAGCTTTGGCCGTTGCGCGGGAAAAAAGCAGAGCATCGCCGTAACGAAGATGCCTTGTCAGGTGGGTGGACTTGATTTGGATTTCCCTCTGCGGGTTGTCGGCGCGGACCCAACAATCTTGTCTGTTCCGATAGCAAAGAGAAACTCCGTCACTCACTTCCCAACTGGTGCCTCACTGCTCTTTTCGTCAGAGCCACACCTCTCCCATCTTGCTTTCTTTCCTTCTCCTTGCTGTGGTCAGCATTTACAAGCAAGTGGGAAAGACTCTCGCAACGGGACATTGAGGCTGCCAGACACGCAATGGCAAGCCAAGGAGGCGGCGCGAACTACCTGCACGAGCAGCCCGGTCTTGAAGTGAACCACCACGCCGGCTTGGAGGTGGACCCGCGGTACGCGCCTCGCCCAGAGTCCGAGGGTTTGCAAACTGTATCGTACCAGCAAGAGAAGGCATATACGGGCGCTGGGGCCCTACCAGAATATCATACTATCACGACGGACGCACACACGGCAGCACTATCGAACTATGACGGTCAACCGCCCGAGGTAGTCCCCGCAAAGGAGGGAGCAGGAGCAGGAGCAGGGCCGAAGCGAAAGCTCACCTGGATCATTGTGGGCGCCATCATTGCCGTAGTAGTCATTGTCGGCGCCGTTGTGGGTGGAGTAGTGGGAAGCCGGGCGGCCAAATCGAGCTCGTCGTCGCATGATGATTCGACTACCAGCGGTAACAGCTCGAGCAGCTCGACGACGAACGCGACGTCGCTGGAGAATATTCGCCCGTTGTCGAGGATCGCCGCGACTGGCTGGCGCGACGGCGGCGTCGCGCGCATACGCATTTTCTACCAGGGCCCCGACATGAAGCTGCGGACATCGTGGTACGCCAACAATGAAACGTCGTGGTCCGACCCCACGATCTTGACGGAGCTCGAATACGAGCCTGGGACCAACACAACCCTCGCTGCCTCGTGCTCGGTTGAAACAACGTCAGCAGTAAGTTGCGTCGTCATTGAAGCGCTGGGATATGTATCAGTGTTTTTGGAAAACGACATATCATGGTGACTAATCATCATATCATTTGGCACAGGTACAATATAAAATGATTTATCTCGACGGAAACTCCACGATCCGGGGCCATGGATTCACAGAGGGTCGCAACGACGTGCAGGGTGAGCGTATGATTATAAACGACTACCCAATCACTGTCCCCTCGACGTCGCGGCTGGCTTCCTACTGGCCTTTCGTTATGGCGCAAAACGACGGTAATAACTTCCAATGGATCCGGTACTGGGGCGCAAACGGAGGGCCCGACGATGCGGATGCATGGTGGACGAACTCTACGCTCAATGTGATTGGGTCTGAGGGCACCGGGATGGTTGTGGTGCCCTCGTCTGCATGGTATCTGGACGATGGCGGTTTCATTTATCGCCGAAGCGATGGAAAACTGAAGACGTATGAGGTCGAGAAAGGCAGCAACAATGTCACCGGCTTGGCTTGGGGTGATGGTAAGTTTCACAAATTGGTTGGATAGAGGAATACCAATCTTGTTTGAATAATGCTAACAAATAATGCAGATGAACTCTCATATGACATTCCCAGCGACACGGCCATTGGCAGCTTCGTCATTGCCCGCCCCGACAACTCCAACAACTACACCAACACGTATATATTATACCAGGACGATGACGGCATCATCCAAGTCATGTGGCAGGACGACGAGTCCGGCTGGAAGGGCCCTAGCACCTATGACGCCTTTAATGGAGCCGACATGGGAACCGACATTACATGTGTCACTGCCGCCGCGTGGGACGGCTCCGGCATCGAGGTCACGAGCAACGAGAACCTGAGCAGATGCTATTTCCAGGTTAGCAACCAACTTAGGGAAGTGTCCTATGATGGGACGGATTGGACTGATAAGGGCTATCTACCCATAACGTAATTATTCGGCGATTAAAATGTGTTTTCTTTTAGATACCATGTACATTTTTGGATTCTTCTAATAAATAAATGTCAAATGAGTTCAACTCGAGACCAATAAGCTGAAGTTGCTAGGGACTTGTATGAACATGAGTGACTTTAATTTGTGGTTCCTCCAACGTCAACACCATGCCTAGGCATATAGCTGCAAGCGAGACAGTATTGTGGAACTCGGGTCTATTCGAGAAACTTAAGAAGTCCCAAGCATCATCCTGACAAAGACATCTCATTGATTGAACAAACTTCACTAGTACCGCTTCGTGGCAGTACTGTAATTAAAGGTAGTGATCAAAGAGCAACCCATCATCATACAACCTTAGCCGGCCCAATGGTGATACAAAATAATTCTGGTCATTTGAGCAGGTCTCTGAGAAACAGTCACGGGGGGATGGAGGTTTCAGCTACCAACTTCCTCGCCCGCCATTTCAATATCAAAGATGGCATTGTAATCCATATCATATAACCTGTCTCGATCATTTAATGAAAGCGCTAATGCTGGGTTGTCATTTAGATATTAATTGTATTCTCTCATCTTAACCGTATCTCATCACACTCTGGACGATTTATGGATGAATACTTTATCAAACACCCCAACCATATTGAGAAGCGCATATCTCACTGATTTGATCCCATGCAAAAGAAGGAAATACTCATGGACATGACCTTGAAATGGTGGTTCCGTGTAAAATTGAACGCAAAGACATCATTTTCTGTTCGACTCTTGTTTCTCTAACATGAAGAGAGTCTTCACCAAGTGACAGGATATATAGTATCTCAAGGGGAAAGGGGCTGTGCCTGGTCTTTTGGGATGTCTCTCAAGAAGAATCCAATGCAATACATCTTACTCGCTGCGGCCAGGTCTCTCTCATTATGGAGAAGGGGTTGTAAAAGTGAAATCTGTTGAGGTAATACATTATGGTTCTTGCCAGCCTGATTTACAAAAAGAGGCAATGGAGTCGAATGAAAAGGATTGTTTTGATTCCAAAGATATAAAAAGTCTTCTCGGTGGAGGTCAAACGATGCGAAGTGTTCTAGATTCACTCGGTGGATAATTGTAGCTCGGAAATCTGCGCCAAGGATAGCGTGCCTGGAACATTAGAATTTTCACGTCACATACTTTGATAATATAATAAGCTTCACAGATGTGACGTCTAAGGGAACCCTAGGTGCCCACAGTATCGCAAACGAAATCGAAGCTTTACGACAGCTTTGGACACTGTGCTTTCTTGCAGTGCTTGATAGATCAGAGCAACACGAGACACCTGTGCCGGTATTCATGATGAGAAGGCTGTGTTCTGTCACGATATTATTTTTCAGATTTAGGTGACGCAGGCGTATTCCTCTCAATTTTCGTCAATGTTTGACATTGAAAAACTCCATAAAGACAAGAACGTGGTTGACTTTATCTACTTGGAGCATCATTGACCTTTTATCACTCGGCTCTTGAGGAATCAAGGATCCTCGAGGCGTTTATCGCCCCATATCAGAGCTGAACTTGAACTTCAAGCCATTAGCATAATTCATAGTCTAACACCGAGATGTGGTCTCTTGTCCCAGGAGGAGGAAATGCGGTGGCGGCAATGGGCGGAGCCAGTAATCTTCCAAGTACGGATCGCCGGATTCGACCTCGACTGACTAACAAATATTTATCCGAATAGCCCGGACACGAGAGGCATATGCCTGATGGCCTAATAAGCGACATTAATTGTGTACCATGAGACTGGAGAGGCCAGACTAGTGACATTCACCATTTACAACTGTACCGGGCGTGAAGGAAGATTCTGGACCCTCAAAAATGGCTGGTAAGCAGTCGACTTTGATTTGCTGCGCCGTACTCAAGATCTTTCTCAATCTTCTGAATCGTCTTTCATCTATACATGGGCCAATGCGAGAATTTAATCAAGTCAGCAAATTATCATCTTGAAACATTAGAGTCGTCGAGAGCGTAGTCGCCCACGGGAGCTGAACTTTATCTGGGCGGGCTCTGAGAAGATGCCATATAGTTTGTCCACTACTGTCACACCTTAGCAAGCCACACAACTAGTCCACCGATGAATTAGATAGGCGAGTATAACGCTGAGCATGCCGGGGCACTTATACCAGAGAGTATTATAAGCAGACTTACACACACGTTGCATGACTTGAAATGGTGACAGCCATTTGAGCCAGGAAAGTGATCACCCTTTGAACCAAAAAAACACGAGCTGAGAAGTTAGGAGCTGCCGAGGACCCGCGGCCACGTGCAGATCAGGGCTCATCCATACCAAATTGGTGGCTGAATACTACCGAAGATCTGTGATCATCGCGGGGAGTAAAAGCAGTGAGATCGAGCTGGGGGGGTTGTGCCTGTTGTGCATGAATAATACTCGCTTGGGCATACATAATCCCACTCAATGTTTAAACGACAGCTTCACTGCGTCATTGAGGGGGGCGGTTGGGGTCGGCTGCTGGGGCTTGCCGTCGCCCATTCAGGAACCCAAAGGCGACGATGCAAATCAGCGAGGCCTTTGAACTCCTAGCCAAGCCACCGACTTCCCTCATTAGGATGTGCAAGCGGCAAGGTATAGAAATATGGAAACCCGGTGGAGTTTTTTTCCTTCTCGCGCAAGTCCAAGTCTGTCCCACATACGCACGCACACACGCACTATGATAAGCCACTCCCCTATTTAGACCATATTCAGCTTAGCATCGTGAGGGGTCAGGGGCACGAAAGCTTTTATTTCGTCCGATCTTGTTGCGCCTTGAAAACGGTTTTTTCCCTCTGGGCAATGGGAGATTACGAGAATCTCGAGAAATTGAAATACCTTTTGAAACAGACGACTCCATAGTATACAGATTAAAGAATAGATAACCTTCTTTCGTATCCGTAATTGCTAAAAGGGTATTCTGCAAGTCGACGAGACTCACCCAGCCATGTAGATTAGGCCACGGAATAGATGGAAGGAGAAGAATGTCCGGGAGCACCGGAAACATGATGGTAATCGTATACCTACAGTGTTGACCTCGAAAATGGCCGAAATCGCCAGTATTCCCTTCTTGCAGCTCAACCACCCTGGGCCTGGGCAATCTTTGGCGGGCAGCCGGGAACTAAACTAAGCCTCGCCCGGCCGCGCGCTGCTTTGTCGTCCTTCAACGAATATTCCGCGTATCCAAGTTTTCAGTGGTCGGATGCCCTTGATCTAGACGCCTCGAGTCCGCAATGGCGTCAGAGTCGTTGTTTGAAGGCAATAGACGTCTTCTTATACCCAGCAGGGCCAGTATGTTTAGTGTGCGGTCCAGGCCTGCATAAACCCGCGTTGGCTTACGACTCAAGTAGTCAGGGGCAAGCTGCAAGTGTTGCTGGGCTCCCAATACATCGACGGGGCCCC